TTTTATCTGGACATCCCTACCTAAAATGATGCTTCAATTTCTATAACTGTGTTTCTGTCTAGACATGCTTCAGTTTTTCTCTGTACCCTAAAAAACGTGCCTCCTTTCTGATGGCTGTCTTTCTCTCTGGACTGCTATTTTCTGTACTAAAAAATGCTTCCATTTTTATCACTGTTTCTTTCTGTTCTGTACCTAAAAGAAATGCTGCACTGACTCATGCTTCTCTTCCTGTTCTGTTTGATTTTTCTCTCTGACGTGGATAAAAGCACACATGCTACACACAAAGAATTTACAGATGACTCAAACCTGGGAGGAAACACACTGGATGATAGGGTCAAGATCCAAAAGGATCAGCATATGCTAGAGAATTGGGGGAAATTCCACGGGAGATCAAAGACAACAATGTTTTTCAAAGTATCTGGGACTGCAAGCTCAATATGAATCAGCAGGGTGAACTAAGAGCCCAGATGCTGATGCCAGCTGGGCCTGCATGGGGCAGGACATGGCTTCCAAGAGTAGGCATCAGATAGAGCCTGGGTCCTCTGCCCTTGTCAGAGTTCATCTGGCTATTGTGTTCAGTGCTGGATTCCATGAATAAAAAGAATGCTCAGAAAATGCTGAAGGGTCTTGACTTCTTGTCCTGTGAGGATTGGTTGAAGGAAGCAGGGATTTAGAGCCTGGAGAAAAGACTTATGGGGGAAAGAGCTGCCTGTACATGTGGGAAGGGCTGTCACATGGAAGAGGGTTTAATTTGGTTGTTAGCTCTAGAAGGTAGGAATAATTCATGGAGCTTGCGAAACAAACAAACAAGCAAACAAAAAAACCCCCAAAACATGTTCATGACAAGCTTCCTAAAACTTGTAGTAGTCCATAAAGTGATTGGGCTCCCTTGGAAGGTGGCAGGTTCCTTCGAAAGATTTCATGTAGAGGCTATATATATGCCCACCTCTTGGGATGTGATGATGGAGATTACTTTCCGGTACTGTTTGCACTTGAAGGCTGCTCATGTCCCTTCCAAATCTCCATTTCTGGGATGCAGGAGCTGAGTTCTTCTATCAAGTGAGAATATCTGTCCCCCTCCCCCAAGTTAGCAACGATTTCTTATGTGACAAATCTCATGGCATTTTTCTCAGGACTCATTCTTGACCTCTCTGTAGCATTTGTGGTGATGCATTTCACTCTGAGCCCACATGTGGTCACCTCTTGGGAGTTCTCTCTTGGTTTTTCTCTGACCTGGCTTGGCACTTTTCAAGAGTAACTGTTAGGTGACTCTATGGATAGAGTGCTGGGTGTGTACTCAGGGAGAACTGAGTTTAAATCTGTTCTCAGACACTTAGGGCTGTGCGACTTAGGGCAAAACACTTAACCACTGCCTCAATTTCCTTAAGTGTAAATGGGGATCATAAAAGCACCTACCTCCGTGGGTTGAGATAACCCCCATTTGGGGTCTTCTTGGTAAAGATCCTGGAGTGGTTCGCCATATCCTTCTCCAGCTCATTTTACAGATGAGGAAACTGAGGCAGACAGCATGAAGTGACTAGCCCAGGGTCACACAGCTTAGATACTTAATAATGCTTGCTCCATCCCTTCCTCCCCTCCAGTCTATTTTACTTAATCATTAGCCATGTAATAAACACTTAAGGTGAGTATCCCTCAAGGTTCTTTCCTAGTTCCTCTTTTTTTTTCTCTATATTTCCTCCCTTAGATGCTCTAATATGTAACCTGCCCACTAAAGATATCTGTTGATCCTTTTGCTTATCCAATACCCTGCTCTGTCATTGAGCGTACAAGTCACTGGGATATCTATTCAGCAGGAGCTAATACCACGAGAGACCCCTCCCCCACCCCTGGCAGAATGCCTGTGATAAATATCCTGTACTGTGCTTCCCCTGGGGCCCTAACCCTACATTTCTGGCTTCGTGGCACCCTACAACCCAGAAATTGATTATGCAGGGTAGCAGGAATAGCTGGAAGCTGTAGAAGTTCATATAGGTGTCTCATGAAAAATGGGCTAGATAATAATGACCACTCTACCCCAGAGTCCTAGGCAGAAAGCCCTAGGTACACAGAAAGTGCCAAATTAGTGTCATCTATTGTTAACTTACCCTGGGGCTCTGGGCAAGACCTTGAAACTGTGAGCTTCTCTCTAGCCCTTAGAGGTAAAATAAGGTCATCTTTCCCCATGGTACCTAGGACTTCTACCATGATCAATTGAAGGAAAACACTTGGCAAAGCTTAAAAGTCCCATAAGCATGTCAGATATTATTATTTTTCTTATGATTCACTAGGACCAATGAGTCCAAACTGCTAAGAAGTATACTGAGTTCTTTTCTAGAAACATACCCAAACATACATAGACCCATAAACACATCGATATGTACACAATCATACAAACATATATGTTTATACATCTCTACATAAGTATACATATCTATGGATAGATACCCACATAGAGATGTATAACTACATATACATGTATATAGAGAACAATATATCTATAGCTATATGTCACTGTATTTTATGCATGGCTGCCATGCCAGAAACATTTTTTTTTTTTAAATCTAATCTTATTCTAAATCAATTAGGCAGCTAGGTGGTGCAGTGGTTAGAGTGCTAGGCCTGCAGTGAGGAAGACTCCTCATCCTGAGTTCAAAGCTGGCCTCAGACACTTCCTAGCTGTGTGACCCTGGGCAAGTCACTTAACCCTGTTTACCTCAGTTACCTCATCTGTAAAATGAGCCAGAGAAGGAAATGGCAAAACCACTTCACTATCTCTGCCAAGAAAACTCCAAATGGGGTCATGAAAAGTAGGACGTAACTGGAACAGCTGAAAAACAAATTCTAAATCAAAGTAATTTCTATGTGACAGAAAACCATTTAAACTGCCATAGTCTACCCCACTCTCATCCCGATGCCCTCAGACATTCTTCATCTACTCAACAAAATCTGTGGTAACGTTTATAGTAATCTTAAGCAAACAAAAAAATTAGTTTAAAATACATTTTTGTGTTTACATTACCAAACAAGAGTCATTTTTTTCTGTTCTACCCTTGATAGATAGATTCATATTAAATGCTTACTATGTGCCAGGAACAGGGACTGTCAATCAATGAATAAATATTTATTATATGCCTCCTGTATGCATGAATATAAAGAGGGGTTAGAGAAGGCTTCCTGAGGATGGTGGGGTGTTAGCTGGTACTTAAAGGAAGACAGGGAAATCAGCAGTGCAGAGGACCCAGAGCATTCTAGGTATGGGGGACAGCCAGAGAACATATATGGAGCTGAGAGGATTTTGTTGTTTGTGGAACAGTCTGAAGGCCAGTGTCACTGGATCACAAAATACATGGTGACAGAAGACTGGAAAGATGGGAAGAGGCAGGTGATGAAGGGCTTTGCCAAATAGCGTTTGTATTTGATCCTGGAGGCAATAGGGAGCCATTGGAGTTTATTGAAGTAGGAGAGGAGTGGTGACATGATCTGACCAGCATTTTAGGCTAATCACTTTAGTGGATGAACAGAAAACAGACTGGAGTAGGGAGAGTCTCGAGTCAGGCAGATCCCCCAGCAGGCTATTGCAATAGTCTAGGTGTGAGGTGATGAGGGCCTGGACCAAGGTGGTAGTCCTGTCAGAGGAGAGAAAGGGGCATATTTGAGAGATATTGCTAAGTTGCTGTTTACAGACCTTGGCAACAGCTTAGATATTGGGGAGGAGAAGGAGTAGGGAGTCCAGGATAATTTCTAGGTTGTGAGGCTGAGAGACTCAGAGGATGGTGTTGCCCTTTATAGTAATAGGGAAGGTAGGAGAGGGGAAGGGTTTAGGGGAAAAGATAATGAGTTCTGTTTTTGGACACATTGAGTAGAAGATGTCTATTGAACATCCAGTTCAAGATGTCTGAAAGGCAGTTGGAGATGCGAGATTGGAGGTGAGTAGAGAGATTGGCCAGGGAAGGTAGATTTGAGAATCATCAACACAGAGATGGTAATTAAATTCATGGAGGCTTCTGAGATGACTAAGTGAAGAGGTATAGAGGGAGAAGAGAAGAGGGCCCAGGACAGAGCCCTGAGGGCCACCTAAGATTAAAGGGTGTGATATGGAGGAAGATCCAGCAAAGGAGACAGAGGTGTGGGCAGATAGGTAGGAGGAAAACCAAGAGAGAGTGAGAAATACTCTACCTTGAAAATACAAAAAAAAATAAGCACAAATAAAGAAATTTTCAACTCTTAAAGAGCTTACATTTCAATGAAGAGAGTCAATGGATAAAAAGATTGTTGAAATGTTGGGGAGGGAAGTACCCAAATGAGCAAGGTAGAGAAATACACAGGGGTGTTCAGGTGTAAAGTGATCATGGCCAATGTGGGTACTTTCTCAAATGGAGATGCTGATGAGGAACTCACCAGGTGGAAAGAAAGAGTTGGGGTCAAAATATTCAGGGCACCTTCTACTGTGAGGAGGCCCCTGGGTCACAAGTGGAGAAGGAGTCCTGGGAGTCTTGCACTTAGCCTGGCTCGAAGTGACCAATCCCCTCAAGTGTTTTAGACCTACTTCAGAACCAAGGGGACCTCCTCCTTCTGACCAAGAACATTACCTTCTGAATAGAAACAAGGAAAGTGATTCTAGGTAGGTCATATCATAGTCCATTGAAAGGATGGCCAATGAATTTTTTTTTAGAAGATAAGATATCACCTTTGTTTAAAGATTGGTTACTACCTTTAACCCATTTCCCTAAGAAAGGCCTGTGTTCTTAGTCTTCTATATTCTTTCAAATAAGGAAAAGTCTGGAAAAGGTTATTAGACTAGGAAAAATATTATTTTTCAATATTTCTAGAGATACTAAAAGGGAGATTTCAAAATGTGTTTCCACCAGGTGTTATCTTTCTCTAGGTACCATTTTCAGTCACATCACTTCATCCTTAGTTTCCATTCTCAAAGCTAAGAGCCTTTGTACTTTATATTAGACATATATCAGACATTTGTACTTTATATTACTGTTTTTCAGATTTGGAGTCCAAGATCAAGACTGAGAATGAGCCAGAGGAGGGATCTTCCCATGGAGTGAAGATTGAAAGACTTGGCAGTGTTGATGATTACTCCTCTCCTTGTGGGGAATGGGGTGAAAGTGAGAGCCAGGTAAAAAGTGAGGAAGTAAAACAGGAGAGTGATGTGAGAAAAATCACCAAACGCCGGAAGATTCAAACTAGAAGCAAAACTTATAAGTATAAGGAGTGCAGGAAAGCTGTCCCTCAATATTCACACTCTTCTGAACATCAGGAAATCCATGGTATTAAGAAGGCTTATATATGTAGTGCATGTAATTTAATATTCTCTGACAACTTAAGACTTATTCAACATCAGAAGGTTCATGCTGGAAAGAAGCGTTATAAATGTGATGAGTGTGGGAAAGCCTTCTTTGAGATTTCAAAACTTCATATACATCAGAAGATTCATACTGGAGAGAAGCCTTATAAATGTAATGAGTGTGGGAAAGCCTTCACTCAAAATGCTACCCTTTTCAAACACCAGAGGATTCATACTGGAGAGAAACCATATAAATGTAATGAGTGTGGAAAAGCCTTCACTCAAAAATCAACCCTATCCAACCACCAGAGGATTCATACCGGAGAGAAGCCTTATAAATGTGATGAGTGTGGGATAGCCTTCAGTCAGAGGTCAACCCGTATTAAACACCAGAGAATTCATACTGGAGAGAAACCTTATAAATGTAATACATGTGGGAAAGCCTTTGTAGAGAGGTCAAACCTTATTCAACATCAGAAGATTCATACTGGAGAGAAGCCTTATAAATGTAATACTTGTGGGAAAGCCTTCAATCAAAACTCAACTCTTTTCAACCACCAGAGAATTCACACTGGAGAGAAGCGGTATAAATGTGAGCAATGTGGGAGAGCCTTTAGTCAGAGCTCAACCCTTATTTCCCATCAGATGATTCATACTGGAGAAAAGCCTTATACATGTAGTGAATGTGGGAAAGCCTTTCGTAAAAACTCAACACTAAATGAGCACCAGAAAATTCACAATGAAGAGAAACCTTCTAAAAATGAGAAATGTGAGAAAGTCTTCAGTCAGAGCTCAACCCCTGTTTCACATAAGAAATCTCATAATAGAAAGAAGCCTTATAAATGTAGTCACTGTGGGAAAGCCTTTCCTAAAAACTCAATACTTGTTAAACACCAGAGAATTCATACTGGAGAGAAGCCTTATGAATGTAATAAATGTGAGAAAGCCTTCACTCAGAGCTCCACCCTTATTAAACACCAGCGAGTTCATACTGAAGAGAGGCCTTATCAATGTAATGAATGTGGGAAGGCTTTCAATCAAAAATCCAACATGATACGCCATCAGAGGACACATACTGGAGAGAGGCCTTACAAATGCCGTGAATGTGGGAAAGCCTTTATGAGAAAGGTCCTCTTGATCTTACACAAAAGGAAGCATAATGGAGAGAATGTGGAAAAGTAAAGGGTGTGGACAAGCATCTACTGAACAGTTAAACCTTATTGTACATCAGGAGATTCACCCTGGATAGAGACCTTATCAGTATAATGAAAGCCTCCATTCTGAGCTCAGCCTTTAAGGACATTATATAATTCATACTGGAAAGAAGAAAGCCTTATAACTATAAGAAATATGGGAATGCCTTCTTGTGCTTTTAAATAGGAGATGATTCTTCTTGGAAAATACTCCCCCCCTTTTAAATGAAATGAGTTTGGGAAAGCATCTTATGGCTGATATATCAAAAATGGAAGAATGCAAAATCATTTGTTGCTTACAGTGGCCAATTATTGGATTAAGTCTTGGGTAAGAAAAGATAGTCCAATTAGAACTGTCTCAAAGTGTTATGGGGGAGGAGATTTAACTGTGGGTCTTAGGACACAAGTTTGGCAGTCACCTGCTAGGGATGCTAGGCATGGATGGAAGGCATTCTTGGTCAGAAATTGTTTGGAATAAATGCCTCTGAGGTATTTCCTATCTAGCTGTGAAAGCTCTTTCAATGTCCCCTAACTTTTCCTAGAAATAGCATCTCATCTTTTTAATACCAGTAGTCTATTAGTATTGTATGGTCATGAAATTTGGAACACTATAGTCTCCAAAGAATTGAACATGGATATTACTTAGAAGAAAGAGGAAAAATATGTATTGTGTAGGAGCAAGTAAATATGAGCTGTCAGTCTTGAAACACAGATGAATTGTTTGCATTCATTTGTGCAAAGATGACTGAATCCTGTCAGAATTCTGTCATCACACATCATCCAGGGAATTTGATGACACAGAGGGCATGGAAGTAGTGATTTTATGCTTTGATGATCTTAAATGAAGAATAGAGTAGCTAGGAAGCACAGTGGATACAGTACTGGGCTTGGAGGCAGGAAGACTCATCTTCCTGAGTTCAAATCCTGCTCAGACACTTACTAGCTGTGTAACCCTGGGCAAGTCACTTAGCCCTGTTTGCCTCAGTTTCCTCCTCTGTAAATGAGATGGAGAAGGAAATGGCCCTCCAGTATCTTTGCCAAGAAAATCCTAAATGGGACCATGGAGAGTTGTACATGACTGAACAGACTGAACAAAAATGAATACTGGATAGGGAACACAAGAAGGGTACACTGGTGAAGGGAGGAGGGCAAAGGGAAAGGAATAATGGACAAAATTATCTCATACAATTATGGTGCCCAAGTAGATGCCTTAATGATGAAGGGGCTGGTGGAGAAGGGGACAGCAGGTAGTATTTTAACCTCATTATTGTCTGACCTGGACAAAGGTGGGAAAGATGCACATACACACAGCTGGGTACAGAAATCCATTTCACCTGTGGATGCTTTATTATATTGTTAATAAAATGTACTAACTATTATACTGTTTAAATCTAACTAGATGAATCTAGAATGTCTCTTTGACCTCAGTAACTCTCCAGGAACTTCAGAGATGACTTCAAGGAATTTTGGGGTCCCCCAGGTCCTGGATCCACCCAAAACATTTTTGTTTTGGGTCTCCACAACCAGGTGTTGTTTGAGTCCACTCCAGCTTGTGTTTTGACTTTGCCCACATTTTATTGAATGTTTACATTTATTCATTTCCATCTCAACCTACCTTGCTTTCAAGTTGCCCTTACAGCAAAATCACTTAACTGTGTATGTGTGGTTTGTGTGTGTGTACCTTTGTCTGAATCATATATAATGTAAATGTTCCAGAGCCTGGATGAGAGGGATCTACACCTCCTTTCTGGTACATTCTCCTCTACCAAATAACCTAATAAATTTCTTTCTAAAACTTTTTGAGATTTTGGGGTTTGTTCTTACAAACAATAATATGGTGTCAGAAGTGGGATTCTCCAGTGGTCACTACAAATTATACCCAAAAGTTCTCTGAGATCATGGAAGCTGAGTAAGTCTCTGTGATTTTAGAATTGAGATGGACAAGACCTGACCAGCATGGGATCACAATCAGCAGAGTAAGAACCTGTTGAGTCCCCTTGGGTTCAGGTTGGACACCCTGTCCAGTCTAGGCCCTGACTCCAAATGTCCATAAAATTAAGGGGCTTTGCTTGACCTTAACCTAGGGAAAGACTTGGTTAATATTAGTATTAGCTCAGGCCACCCAATTGGCCAAATGAGTAATTCCCTTGACCTGATCACTCAAGGGCTTGGTAAGCAGCTATTGAAAACTAAAAATCTGGTTAAATTAGGTTGGAGGTCCTTTGGTACATGTTCTGCTTTTCTCTTTCAATTTTCTTAACTCTCTCTAGATACCTTGCTTTCTCAATGAGGGGGGAAGGGAGAGAAGAAGAGAATTTGGAACTCAAAACTTTAAAATGAATGTTAAAAATTGCTTTTACATGTAATTTTTTTTAAAAAAATTTAAAAACTATTTAAAATTTTGGGGTTTGTTCTCATGAGCGACACACCCAATAGGGAAACTAGAGGAAAGGAAAGATGAGACCAAGAGAGAAGGAAGACAAAGGGAATGATCAGTCTTATGTCATTCCAACCTCAGTTGCTACAGATCCTGTTCTGAACTGTACCACCTGGGATTAGGCCTGTTCCCTTTGGATTTTTGAGGTTCAAAGGCCTGGACTTTCAGGGCCTTCTATGTCATCTTAAGATGAAGTGTTGAGGACCTTGGAGGCCCTGTGGCCAAGGTATCCTTAGTGCTACTACACCAGGACTGTTTGCTACCATCTTATTCTTCCTCCATGGTCCATGATGTGGGTTTCTGATTTCAGTGGGATGTCTTTGGGAGAGCCCTCTGCTTTTGTGGCCACAGGACACAGGCTACAGATGTCTCTGTTAGAGACTCAGGAGTGTGACTGAGCCTTCAGGAACACTCACTGTTCAGGTAAGCAAGGACCAATGTTCATCATGCATATTGCTCTGGGTGCTCAGCTCCCTTTTTCTTATGCTTATATAATAGTATTACTATGTCACAATTTTTACCTCTTCTCCTTATGTCTATAGGACACTGCTTTTCTCTTATTCCCACCTTTTCTTTTTCCTCTGATTTCCCTCTTGAGTATGTTGTTTGTGAGAACAAACCCCAAAATCTGTTCTGAGCAGGGGGAGGGATGAGAGAAATAAAATGTGTACCCTGGGATTTCAGATTTTGCCTTCTTGTATTGACTCTGTTGCCAGAGATAGTGGGAAGCAGACCCCCTAACACTAGTGGGAATGGGGAAAAGACTAAGGAGTCAACATTCTTACTTTCCCTTCCTTACCTGAACTCCACCTGCTCTCCCTCCCCTAGTGCCCTAACCTCTAGTTAGAAGATTGGCTGGAAATTAAGCCAGTGTAAAGTGAGCAGCACTGTCCATGGTGGGAGTAAAAGGAATGAGAGATTCCTGGTCTTTCAGAGCTGCTCAAGGAATTTAAAAAGCTCATCTAGTCCATAGGAGCGAAACTTAATAGCAGCGAGCATTTATTTAGTGGTTTGCACAATGCTTTAAATATCTTTTCTCAGATGATTACATACCCAGAGACTGGAGGGACTATAATTATCATCTATCCCAAATCAGTGGCAAACTTCTCCAATATCTTTGTCAAGGAAACCTCAAATGGAGTCACAGAGAGTCAGACATGACTGAAACAATTCGACAACAACAACCACATCTCAAAATCACTCATTTTATAAATAAGGAAACTGAGGCCTAGGGAATTTAAGTGACTTTTAGAAGATCATAGAATTAATGAGTTGCAAAATTCAGATGTGGTCCCATGTCCGCTGATTTCCAATCTAGTTCTCTTCCTACTGTACTTCACCTCTCCAGGAAAATTAAGGAACTGTGTGAAGGAGAAACTTGCCCCAGGACTCAGATTTAATCAGTGTCAGACCAAGAACTGAATGAAAGTCTTCTGATTCTAAATCTGGCGCTCTTTCCCCTAGACTAAACTGCCTCCTGAATGACTAGTCACGTGGTCTGTGACCTATTTCCAGGAAAATCAAAGCTCCAACACGTGTTAAAGATTCAGGGCAGGATACCCACTTCGATGGATAAAGGGAAACTTAGTCTTCAACATGAGAAAAGTCAGGGAGGAGGGGCTGAAAGATGGAAGAGGTCATCTATGTTACATTGGGCAAGTAATTTCACTTCTATGTCAGTTTTCTCGACAATGAGGAGGTTAGACAAGATGACCTTGAGGGTCCCTTCTAGCTTTGAGACTATGACACTCCTAGTGGGACAGAGAAAGGGATCATTCATCCAACAATCCTCTTGGGAATGCCCACCTCCAGAGCTACAGAAGGAAAACATGAGACCCTTATAGGTCTCCAATTCTCTTATCTTACAACTGGGGGGGGAATAGGCCTAAAAAACCCAGGGAAGTTGCCCATAATCAAACAGCTACCAGACTGACCTCTTATGAACACCTGCCAAGGACCATAGAAGTAAGTCTGGGAGGGAACTACATAGGAAAAGTAGCTAATGCGCCTCTTGCATTTTATGGATGGAGAAACTGAGGACCAGGGGACTGAAATGACTTTGCAGTGGTCACACAGGTAAAATTAAGAATGTAGGGTGGGACCTCTTTCCTCTGGAGTTCTGGGAGGGCCCTATATTTCCCAAAATTGATTGTTAACCACTTGAGTTCCTCCTCATTGGCAGTAGTAAAATACCCCAGCATCTGTGGAATAGAATTGCAAATCACATTGCAGACCAACTCCCATAAAGTTAATAAAGAACCAGGAATCAGAGAGATCTGCTTTCAAATTGTGCCTCCAACCCTTGCTAGCCATATGACTCACTTCATCCCTCTGTGCCTCAGTTTTCTCATCTTTAAAACAGAGTAAATAATTCTGATAGTACTTTTCTTAGAAGAATGTTGTCAGATTTTGTTGTCATTCAGTAGTTTCCAGTTGGATCCAAGTCTTTGTGACATCATTTGGGATTTTCTTGGCAGAGATACTGGAGTGGTTTGCCAAAATTCCTTCTCCAGTTCATTTTTCAGATGAGGAAACTGAGGCAAACAGGATTAAGTGGCTTGTCTGGGGTCCACAGCTAGTTTATGCTTGTGTATCCACTGACCCCAGAGGGAAACGAGAGGTTGGCATCCCTGCACTCATTCTCTCCCCCATGCCAGGAAGATATCCCTCTACACTGGGCTCAAATGCTATGACAAAACTGGCATTACTTCCAAAAGGGACTAGATTATTCACTACCTTCATTTCCCATCAAAGAGTTCTTCTACTCTGTACCCAAATGCATTTAGGTCCAACAAAAATAAAATAAGATCTTGTGTGATCTTGACCTGGGTTTGGGTCTACGTAACTCATCTTATCTTACCCCTTATTGGTCTTTCTAGTAGACTGCAGCTAGTCTAAGCCACTATCAGCCAGTGGGAAAGCTCTGTAGGCTTAGAGGAACAGAGCTGCGGGCTTCTCTTTGGTCTGAGATTACTTTACTGTTTACTCATCTGCAGACTCCATTCAGGGGCTACAAGGGCAGCTAGATAGCTTAGCCTCCACTCTTTCTAGTTTTGAAGCCTTCACTTTCATTCATTTTGTGTTATTTCCATTCACATACTTGTAATCTTTGAATATGGAAATATGTTTTGCATGATTGCACGTATATAATCTATATCAAATTGTTTACTGTCTTGGGGAGGGAGGGAGGAAGAAAGAGAGGGAGAGAATTTGGAACTCAAAATTTTTAAAAATGAATGGTAAAAATTGTTTTTTACATGTAATTGGGAAAGATATTGTTCATATTTGTAGTCATTGGACATATTTTCTAGGTTCTGCTTACTTCACTCTGCATCAGTTCATGCAAGTCTTCGTGAACCTTTTTTTTTTTTTTAAGATGTAAATAACTGTAGTTTTATATAAGGGCCACCTTATATAAAGGCAGAGTACATAGAGTACCCGGCTTGGAGTCAGAAAGACTCATTTTCTTGAGTTCAAATATGGCCTCAGACACTTAGCTGTGCTACTCTGGGCCCTGTTTGTCTCAGTTTCCTCATCTGTAAAATGAGTTGGAGAATGAAATGGCAAACCACTTCAGTATCTTTGTCAAGAAGACCCCAAAGAGGGGCACAAAGGGTCAGACATGACTGAAATGACTGAACAGCAGTTATACGGAACTGATTTTCTTTGCGACATGATGTATTTTGTTAATTTAAGACCACAATTCTGAGAAGGATTTCACAGGCCTCACCAGACTTCTACAGTTGTTCATGACACACAGAAAAGGTTTAGAATCCCACTCTGGAAGGCCAGCCAATATTATCGGCCTGCCTGGGTTCTTCTGGATCTTTTAGGGACTTTACCTCCCTAACAAGCCACACAACCATAAAGCATTTTTAAAAGGCTGTTGTTTGATTTCTCGTTCAGGTACACTCAGAGCATCTTGACGATAGAGCCTCTGGGTGTTAGTAAATGAATCCCATTGTTACGTTACGTGCAGGGCGTAGCCTCATGGGAACTTCCCGTAATCTTTAGATCTGGCCCTAGTCTGTGCATGGCTATGGTAGGCTCACCTCTCTTTATAGAAGTACCAGTACCTAGCACTGGAAAGGCTGCGGAGGCTCAGAATGAGAGCCAGCTATTTTAGTCCCCTACAGAGCATCAGCCCCACTCCAAATCTAGGCACATTTAGGGAGGGTTCCCTGCAGGAATGTTTTCTAACCTCATTGCTACGCTAGAATTCGACAAAGAACCTGTAGATATCCACAGGTGTGGCCTCTCCACCCCTAGGTTCAGATTTTGGGCACCCAAAGGAGGGATGTTCCAACTTTCCTTGGACAACCTGAATTCCTGGCTGATGATCGTGGGCGATGTATGAACAGTCTGGGGAGAAATACCCAGGCTGCCAGAGAGCTTGCACAACAGAGCTGTCCAGGCCTGGAAAGCAGCCATCCAAGAGAAGAGATGAGGCTCACCAGCCTGAGAAGCCCAGGGAATAATCTCAGGGGGCCAGGCAATGCCGTCCCCTTGACAGTCCCCTTGATGAGTACCCTCCAGGGAGAATTTACTTACTTTGAGATCTGATGCCAACTGCACAGGGAAGCTGCCCCCAAGCCCAAGAACCTATATCTAGAAGGTATTTAATCCAAAGGGTTTGAGTGCTGAATCTTACCGAGAGCTTTAGGGGCCAATGCTCCCCCTACCTCAAACTGGAATAGGTCCTCTGCCAGCCATCTCCTGGGACTGGCTTTTTAGACTTCTCTTGGGTCCATATCTCTCGTGGGCTTTTCCCCCTGAGAGTCTTTTTCATCCCACCCTCTCCTCACCTTTTTTGTTGTTGTTCGGTCATTTTCAGTCACGTATGAGTCTTCGTGCCCCTTTTGGGGTTTTCTTGGTAAAAAAAAGACTGGAGTGGTTTGCCATTTCCTTCTCCAGTTCATTTTACAGATGAGGAAACTGAGGTAAACAGGGTGAAGTGACTTACCTAGAATCACACAATTAGTAAGTATCTGAGCCTGGATTTGAACTCAGGAAGATGAGTCTCCCTGGTTCCAAGCCCAGTGTTCCATCCGCTGAGAGGGTTAAGTCAATTGTTTTCCTAATATTAAACCATCCCTTCATTCCTGATTATAGTGTAAGATCTTTGTGATATGTTGTTTTAGATTCTTCCGTGTTTGCATCCAGGTGTCTCTTTGATCAAACCTGTCCCAAATTGCCATACTACCTCATGTGTGGGCTCCCCAAAAGCATACTTTTATCTGCCCCAGCTATTTGTGAAAGGGCTGTCTTAGATCTCCCGGGACTCAAAAGCTTCTTCTGCTATGATGTGAGTCCTTGAGGGAGGGCTTTGGACATTGATACTCTCCCTGGAATCTTTTCTCAATGGGAACCATACTCCCACCCCATCATATATTCCCAAATGCAGGGATTTTGAGTTTTTACCTGTCAGTATACAAAATGAATTCTCTTTCTACCACCCTGACTCAAATTCCCCTCAACCCTGCCCCTCACATTTCTCACTGCAGATCTAACTGTCCACTCCACTGTGCTCTCTAGAATTCTTGCTCTGTGATTAAAACTGCCTCTTCTGAGACCTGCTTCATTTCTGCTGACACAACATTTCTAGTCACACTTTCTAGTTCTGATTATACTTTCACTCAGAGACCTAAACTGACTGATCCTGGTGGGGGAGTCAGAAGGGTCCTTGCACCCGACCCCTCCAATGCCACTCCCAGATGTCTCTTCTGCCACTTTCACTCGTTGACCTCTATTCATTGGAGGTTGTCAATCCAAATTGATCAATAAAAGATTCTGGTATCCATCATCTCCTGAGTGCAAGAACACTCTCCCTATCCTTCTGCAGTGAGTTCAGTGCTTAGAGCAGTCTTTCTCTCCACCTCAATTCCCACCATTAAACTATGAGATTTCAGATATATTGATACTCCTTCCAGCACCCTAAATTCCTATTCTTCAATCTACTCAATTTCCGCCTCTGTGGAGCTCTGGCAAAAAGAAGTGGAGATAATTCAAAATCCTGTTTTACCTCTAATTTTGTTTTAAAGAATACTAGTTTATCCCCCTTATAATTAATGCTAGCTAATGCTTTTAGATATATACTATTTACCATTTTGACGAAAAGTCTTCCAAGAAGCAGCTAGGGGGCACAGTGCTGGACCTGAAGTCAGGAAAGACCTGTGTTCAAATCTGGCCTCAGGCACTTAATAGCATTGTTACTTTGGGCAAGTCAATTAACTTCTTTTTGCCACAGTTTCCTCAACTGTAAAATGGGGATAAATAATAGCAGCTATCTTACAAAATTGTCATGAGGGTATTCCTCCCATTTAAACTTATGTTTTCTAGTGTTTATAGTAGAAAAAGATATTTTTAAAAAATATTTCTCTCTATTTATTGATGTCATCATATGATTTTGCTGTTTTTCTCATTAATATGGTTAATTAAGCCTATAGTATCCTGAATATTAAATATAAAGAGGATCTTTGCAATATGTTTTTATGGTCTCTGGTGTTTGAATCAATGTTTATTAGGTATTGGCCTACAGCTTTCTTTTTTGTTTTATCTTTCCCTGGTTTGTGTCCCTAGAATATATCTGTGCCAGAAAGGGATTTAGCAGGATCCCTTCTTTTGCAATTTTCAGAAACAGTTTCATATGATACTGGGATTGTCGCATCAATTTTTTTTTTTGAAGCAATTGGGGTTAAGTGACTTGCCCAGAGTCACACAGCTAGTAAGTGTCAAGTGTTTGGTCCGAGACTGGATTTGAACTCAGGTCCTCCTGACTCCAGGACCGGTGCTCTCTCCACTGCACCACCTCGCTGCTCCAAAAGTTTTTAATTTAGTATAGTTCTTTTTTTTTCTTTTTTTTTTTGGTGAGGCAATTAGGGTTAAATAACTTGCCTAGGGTCACACAGCTAGTAAGTGTTATGTGTCTGAGACCAGATTTGGTCTCAGGTCCTCTTAACTCTAAGGCCAGAGTTCTATCCACCGGACCACCTAGCTGCCCCCCATTAATTTTTTTAAAACAATGTGACTAGGGGCAGCTAGATGGCACAGTGGATAGAGCACTGGTTCTGGATTCAGGAAGACCTGAATTCAAATCTGGCCTCTGACACTTGACACTTATTAGCTGTGTGACCCTGGGCAAGTGGCTTTACCCCATTGCCTCAAAAACAAAACAAAACAAAACAAAAAACCAGTTTGACTAGCTGAAGCCAATAAGCCAGCACGAATCAGAAGACATTGATTACACCCAGTGTGTGGTCTACTCTATCAACAATAAACAAGGAATTTCTTATTCCCACTCAGAATTCAGCAAGCAATATTTCTACATTATATGAAATGGAGGGAAAAGGTGATTGGTCATTACAATGCAGCTGGCTATACAAAAATAAGGATGCTTCTTGTTAAGGAAAATCTTGGGTGCTGCTTACCTAAGCTTGGGAAAGCTTAGACCTGATCAAAAGGTAAAGAGATTCTCATCTAGGTGAATGCTGGCCGTCGTGTTCTAGTCAGACCGATCTGAGTGGCGTTGGACCCTCTTTGTTTAGATTGCCCCATGTGGGTAGAGATAAGTCTCTTTGTCCAAGACTGAGTGATCAGAGTCGTGTCCCCTAGGCCCTCATTAGAATAGGTCCACCTCTCATTCTAATATTCATTCTCATTAATTGCTAACCAACCAGAATTGATTGCTGCCTGTTGGGAATACTCACTCTTCTGAGGATATGTAAGGCTCAGAGGCCTCCAGGAGGGGCCTTTGGATGACCATCCTTTTATTATTTGCTAGCCATAATTAATTAAAATGATTAATTACCCAGAAATCACGTCTCTCAAACTTGTCACAAGACTACATATCAAACATCAATCAATAAAATAAATCGATCGTACTGCAGTCAATTTGTAATAAACATAACTCTATTATCAAGGGTCTAAAAAAAAGGAATAGGAAACACATCTTATTGAACATTTAGGCAACAGGTTTCTTATTCCATCTTAGATTTAGCCGCTTACTTTATGAAGTTGTCTACTTCTGGGAAGCATTTTCCCTTGGAAGTTCTGTATCAAAAGGGTGCGTCCTTGACCACTACCCACAAATTGCCCAGTTCAATCTACTTCAGCTCAGAGATATGTATCCCTGAATCAATATCTTGGTGTCGTTAACTTGAACATTAGTTGTTAACAGTACCTGCAATGGGCTATTTCACCTTGTTTCCAGGACAGGTTTGCAGAGGTAGTTCTTTGACAACTTCCAGGTTCCAGGTCACTTGTGAAGATTACCTAGATAATATTGTCTTTAACCTGCTCATGATAAGATTTAATATGACTTTGTCAGGCCTGACAAAATCTTAATACATTTAACTTGCCAGTAACTAGTTCATGTGGTGAAAGCCAGTGAAAATCTTATGGAGTTACCCTTATGAACACCAGGGCTATAGGAAGAACATCAGATTAGGTTACCTGTAACTCATCTGAAAGTTTAGAGATTTAAAAAATATTCACATATTATTTGTTCTTTATGTCTTGCCTAAACCCTGCACCTGGTATGGATAATATGATTCATGGGCTGCACAAAAAATAAAAATCTTGAAAAGTATCCATGAGGATCTGACCTGTAAAGTGAGTCCTTCTGCCTCTTGATATTATCAGAGAGAGACTTCAAACAGGAAAAATGTGATTTAAAAGTTTCTTTACAACTATTAAAAGAATTTTATATGTAAATTTCTTAATCTAATTTGATAATTTATATGTAATTACTAAAACATATCAAAGCCTTATGTAGTTTTTTTTTTAGGCAATTGGGGTTAAGTGACTTCCCCAGGGTCACGCAGCTAGTAAGTGCGAAGGGTTTGGTCTGAGGTCAGATTTGAACTCAGGTCCTCCTGACTTCAGGGCCGGTGCTCTATCCGCTGCACCACCTAGCTGCCCCTGTAATTTTTAAAATAAAATTAATCTGGATATATTTCAATGGACCTGAAGGACTTTCGGTACTTTACCTTTTTTGGTCTCATTCTTTATTCTAAGATAAAAATTTTTAAATATCATCTAGGCTCATCATGTTTATTTGACCTCTTGTTATTGTTTTTAATAGAAAATATTGGGATATCACATATATGTCAATCACATATATTTTAATTCCCCCATGGAAAAATCTAATCTTGTTGCTTTTCTCAAAGTAAAGATTGCTACCTCATTAAAAACTAAAGCCTCGGGGAATGGCTAAACAAGCTATAGTATACAATTGTGCTAGAATATTATTGTGCTATAAGGAATGACAAGCAGAATGATTTCAGAAAAATCTGCAAAGATTTATATGAACTGATGCAAAGTGCAATGAGCAGAACCAGGAAAACATTGTACACAGTAACAACAACATTGTATGATAAAGAACTGTGAATTGCAGAACTACAGCTATTCTCAGCAATGGAATGATCCAGGACAATCCCAAAGGCTTCATGATTAAGCATGTTATCCGCCTTCAGAGAAAGAACTGATACTGTCTGAATACAGACTGAAGCATGCTATTTTCACTTTCAACCTTTTTTTTATTTGAGTCTTCTTGTACAAA